CCATTCTGCCACTGAGAATGTGGCCAATAAGCAGAATTAGACCAAAACCAGTGAATTTCAGCAAAAAAGAATTCTGCAGAGTGAACTGCATTGCCTTTACTTCATTATTGAGTCAGTTGGTCAGTGGACGTTTGATTCGCCCATGAGTCTCGTTTGAACCTGTTCTCACGGGTTTCCTCTGGGTCATGACTTCTCTCCAGCCCAGCCTTCTTGTGTTCATGTAGCCTTGCAGTAGGCGTTTTGTCCAGGAGGTTTTATTTTCTCATCAGTCGTTAGTTGACTGTCAGTCTTGTTGCAGTTGTAACCTTCAGCTTCGAGTACGTTGTCAACTTGGGGTATTTATTATGCCTTAGAGAAAAAGGGGGCCAAGTATTTAATTTTCAGTTGAACCATGAGGGGATCTTGTGCCATTTGGGAGGCCTCACCCGAAAGACCCAGAGTTAGGGGGAGTGGGCATGTGGCAGCTCAACCCCCCAAGTTGAAACAATCTGGCCCCAACCTCCCGCCTCATCCATTACTAGCCTCCTTATAACCCTGGAGACCAGACTCACAGGGACCTCCGCCTCCCAGACTGCAGACTGTCACAGCCCTTGTGGGTGGGCCCTGCCCCGCCCCTCCCTGTGTGTCACAGTCTGTGTGTGGGCCCCGCCCCTCTCTGCCCCTCAGTGTGGACATCTGAGTAGATATCGGCTGTGTCCCCATCTGTCAGAGTTGTCGCCCACTGCCCATCCTGTCTCCCTCGCAACCCCCACCCCCGACCCTGTGGGGGTGGACATGCTGCGTTCCCCCAGCACCTGGGTCTCCAATGTTGGGCCCTCCCATCTCCTGCCCCCAGCGTGGCCTATGGACCCAGGTACCCCAGGGCACTCCAGGCACCTGCCTGGGCCCCTCCCAGCAGGGCACCTTTGGGTGGTTATCTCTAGATCATGCGTCCAAACACTAAAATGGGGGTCTCGGAGGAGGCGTGCCTGCCAGCTGGATGCCCTCTCACGGCTACCTCTTAGGGGCAGCTCGGAGCCAGCCTGTGGAGGTGGGCCTTGGCATCGTGATCGGGGCCTACGCAGGGCTCTGGACTCTGGGTATCGTCCTGTTTGTCATCCTCTTCCTAACACACAAAGGTAGGTGGGCACCCCTGGCGGGGGCATGCCAGACAACCTGGACCACAGCCTGAGACCCAGCCAGCTGGCCTGACCCCTCAGGGAGGACCAGGGAGCCATGCCCACTGGCCCTGGGCTTCCACAACGCCCCCCACCTGGAGCTGCTGCCCTGCCGAGCCTGAGCAGGCCAGAGCCGCGGTCACACAGCAGCAGCCCTGCGGAGCCCCAGCCGGCCCTCACGCGCACCGCAGGGCTCCTGCTGGCTGGTCTCTGCCCCTGGGACACGGGCGGCAGCGCTGCCGTGGCCCTCACTGCACTGCGTGTCCGGGGAGGGGTCTTCTTCCAGGGGCAGCCAAGGCTGTGGGGACTGACGCACATCATGGCCTGGATCTGGTTATCCCACCTGGGGCTGACTGGGAGCCTGGTGTGGGTCTGGCACCGGCTCCAAGGTACTTGGCTATGGAGGGGAGGCCACCTGAGGGAGGGTCCTTCCTGAACTTGAAGACAAGGGCAGCTTAGGGGCAGGAGGGCAGAGGGAGACCTGCAGGCAGCACACAAACTGGAATTTAGGGGAGGGGACACACTCGGGTCCTGCCCAGGGCCCAGAGAACAGCCAGGTCTGGGGTCTCCAGGGCTTGACCTCAGCCAGAGGACACACTGGACAAACACGCTCTCCTGGACCCCACTTACATTCCTGCCTCTCCTCCTCTTCACCATGGGGATCGCCACCAATGCTGTGCTTCTGATCAAGGACAAGGTACTAGGGTGGGGCTGGGGCACACCCTTGTCTGGCCACTGCTCAGGCCACCTCTGTGGGTCTCAGGCTCCCACCAGGGTTGAACTGCAAGGACAGGGTCTCTGGCGTCACCTGAACCCACGCCCCACTCCAAGGTCCAACTGGCCTTGGCAGGTGGAATGGTCGTGAGCACTGGCCCTGTACTGGCCACAGGCTGCCATGGAGTAGGATTCAGTTATGGCAGCTGGTTCCTCCCTTTGCTCCAGGGCACAGGGCAGGGACAGGAGGGGACTCAGCAAGAGGCAGTGCACACAGTGGGAAGAGCCTACCAAGGTCCAAGTCACAGCCCCAGTGCTTTCAGGAGTCCTTGGACCACTCACTCTGTGCCTCAGTTTCTCCATCTGGGAAAGGAGAACAGGGGCTGCTGGAAGTGCTCACCCCAGGTTCAGACACACAGCCCAGCCCTCCTGAGGAGGAGAGCTCACCCCAAGTCTCCGAAGCTCAGTAGAGAGGGCTGCAAGGCACAGAGAACAGCAAGATGGTCCAGAAAGTGTGCCCTCGGGCAGCCTGCTGGGGTTGGGGACGCGGCCGAGTGGTGAGAGCAACATCCCAGGAACGGGCCACATAGGACCTCGTGCTGCAGCCTTCTGGGTCCACGGCAGGCCCTCAGCAGAGAGGGACGGAGGGGGAGGGGACGCGACATGGTGTGGGGGAGGGGCAGCCTTGGTAGAAGCTGAACAGACTGCTGGCGCCTCTTCCTCCCAGTGTCTTTCCAGCTCAGCGTCCCGGCCAAGAGGTGAGTGACCCCTGCAGACTTTCCAGAACCTGAGTCTGTGGGGGATGTAGTCGATCTCTGGAGGGACAAAGACCACCGCGCCATTCACGAAGAGAGAGGGAAAGGACCCCAAGGGTGGGGCGAAGTATCGCAAGAAACACCTGGCTTTGAGTCTCGGCCCTTGGAGGTGAATTTTATCTCCCGTGGGCGCCAGCGAGACCTGGTGGACACGATACACCCTGTCCTCAACACAATGAGGGACAGGCCCCAGAGGTCCGGAGTAGGGGCGCGGCTCACTCAGCCCGCCTCTAGACCGGGCACCCTCCTTGTCCCACGCGCCCTTTAGCCTTGGGCGCTGAACGAGCCCGAGGAAGCAGAGG